AATCTGCCCAAAGCAACTAAGTTTTACGTAAAACTCCCCCTGACTAATCCCTTTTGCTTAATTGATAATGTAAATACAAGTTCTTCACCAAGTGTAACAGTAATTGTGATAACCCAGTGTGCAAACATGATTCTGACTGGTGTCATTGAATTGTGCAACCCTATATAAAAGGAGGGCACGTGGCTGATAATCCTTTTCCACATGAACACTAAGTGTGCATCCACATATCTCATTTAAACATTTTGCTGCAACTGCTTTGAATTAGTTATATTATTGTATCACTAACTGACAAGTTATAATTTACATTTATTCCAGGGCTAAGTTGATGATAATGTCTATGAATGTTAAAATGAAAACTAGGGCCAATTTATGCAGAAGACTACTTTGAATTAACCAACTGGAGTCAAAGGAAGAGGTTACAGCCTCCTCTACCAAAGCACACATCTACAGAATATCTTTTGTATTTTACTAATCAAGTCGATCCACCAAAATTACATTTTCAGAAATACTCATGCCACACACAAGCTGTAGAAAGGGCAGTACATTTAGTAACAGAAGTCTCAGTATGATAGTATGTTAGGTTCATACAAAATAGGTTGGAATCCAGATCAGACATGCCTAAATCAAACACGAAGAAACAATATATGGCATAAAATTGGATAAAAGAACTTGTATACAATGAATTTAGGGGTGGAACTTGAAATGCAGCCACCTCCTTATGGGAGTTCAGGGTAATTCAGATGATTTTGATTGTCATAAAACCATTTATTTAGCAAAGAGCTGTATAATATACTGTCAGGTAGATTACAGTCACTAAAGTGAGCCTATTCAGTATTCAAGACTAAGGGCAGAACAAGATGCATTAGTAAGACAATAAACTTTTAACACTTTGTCTCTTTTATTGATTAACAACTTTTGAAAACTATCAGAAATTAAAATTATAATGTTTGGTTTTATCATATTCTTTTGATCTACCCTAGTATACAGTTGCTAATAATCTCATCATATTGGTTTTATATTCCACATTGGCCAATCATTAGTTTTTGCAAAATGTAAATACAGTGGCCAAGCCTCATATTGATGGGTCACAATCATGGGTTACACTATACTTGACAGTTAAATTTTGCATCTAAAAGCTAATCTATGTAATTAAAAGAACAATGTGTGTGTTAGTAAGTCCATGCATGAATGTGTGCTAGCTTGCATGGAACCCAATATTCCATTAGGCTATTTGTACAGTAGTACTTTTATATTTATATGAGTGCAAAAGTAAATGATGTTTAACATACATTGTTCTATATCAGTGCAAAACTGATGTTTAAAACAGTAACTTTAAAGACAAGTATTTCAGTAACATAAACAAACATGTAAGCCTTTCTCAACCTTTTTTTGCTCGTGGCTCCCTTTTGAGTTTGATTTCTCTCTGTGGCCCCACCCTTTGTAGACGCTGTTACTTAGGCAAAAAATCACTTTATTTCCACACTGTTGATCTATAATATATTTATAATATTATAATTTTACTTTTAAAATATTGTATTGTTTTTAAATATTTTGTCTATCACATACTGTTCACTTACACAAGTAAAAAATATTCTGTTAATCATTGACATTTTATTCAGTGTGATCCTTGGGCCTTATGAACACTTGAAAGTTTTTGAATGTCCGATTGCAGTGTGGTCAGTGATAAGCGAAGATCACCTCCCTTCACGACATCAAGGCGGTTACATATTTTTGATAGCAAATAAGTTACCCGATTAAAACCAGATTCAACCAGATAAGATGTGGGAAAAGTGATAAAATACAACTTTGCCTTCTCCCAGAGCTGTGGAACTTATTAGTTATTTCACTACTTATCCAGAAACAATGTTTGTCACGTTTGAATCTAGCTTGGGCTGTTATATCACTCTGCTGCTCTTGAGAATCAGTCAAAAACATTCACAGACAAACATTTTGATTGTTACTCGAGTATTAGTCACATCTGGTAACTTGACTTCTGAGCTGTGGGGGATACGGAAGAAGGGAACCTTTGAGTCAATTTTAAATATTTCATTCAGGCAGTGAAGTTTCGGTGGCCCACACAAAATTTACTGTGGCCCTCTACTTTTCCATCATTCACGTGTGACCCCTTAGAAACATTGCATGGCTCACGTTGAGAGCTACTGATGTAAGGAAACACATCAAGTTAATTTTTTACATTTTCATGGCTTATAAGTACCACAATACCATTACATCTCAATACAAATTCCAACAAGCACCTAAAAATTGACAATTAGGCCTAAAGTTTAAATATCCTTCCTACTTGAAATATGAATTTCCCCAGTATATAATCTACAGCAACCTTAACAGTTCTATTCATTTTTAATGCTCTACAGCTAACACACTGTACGAAAGAAAACAATCACAGGTTTCAGATGATATACAAATAACAATAAGATACATAAGAAATTAACAAAAGAACACATGATGATCATTGATTTGTATACATATTGATACCATAATTTTAAAAATTCACAATGTTATAGCTATTATATGTTTTTAACTATTTCAATACAGGTACCTAAAAATTGACACACAGTTAGGCCTAAAGACTAAATACAATTTGTATGTGCTAGGAGAATAAAATATTACACCATTTTTGTAATTGTTGATAGAGGGCCTGATGCTTTGCTAGTACATTAGAGGAAAGTAAAAGAGTTAATACCTTTGTGGAAGGAAAAAGAAAAATATGTGAAACAGCCACAAGACAGTTGATTTTTACACTTCTTGATACCATAATTGGAAAAATTCAATATTTTATAATGTCACTTTATCAAGAGTTCAATCAAGGAAAAATCTCAAGATCTTGGTCAAAGATGGCAATTATCCACAAAGATAAGGTATTTGTAAAAAAAAAATGTTGTGTACAGAGATATATTTCAATTACAGTCATTCCATGTTTTTACACTTCTTTACCTTAAATCTAAATACAACAATTCCATATTCTGATTAGGAGGTTTTTGTTTTATTCATATCCAATTACATAATACAACAACAGTATTATATAAAGGATTTATCTATTTAAAACACATACCCTTCTCAGGCAAGGAAATTTATCAATTTTAGGGCAAGGCCATTTAGCTTTGGATTTTCTCTCATTTTGAAAGGCACAAAGGTCAGCAGTTAGGGTACCAAGGCCAAAAAAAATTAATTGGAGGGCACTAAGGCCACAGTACAGATTAACGTTAATGGAATAGAAATGAGTTTCCCAATTAATTTAGTAAGTATGGAATTAATTTTTTCACTTGAGGTTTGAAAGGCTGGCCTATTCTTCCAGATTATGTTTATAAGGTAGATAAGTATTAACTACAACCAATGAGACTTATGAAGTAACATTAGATTAGCTTTAAGATTAAAAAAAAAGGAGGAATCATGCTGATCTATAATGACCTGTAACTTTAATATGATTCCTAGTTTTGCCCTCTCCTGACTCCAAATGACATTTGACCTAACTTTGAGAATGATCAAACAAAATCCCCGGTAAAAGGAGAAATTTAAAGACCTAATCTCTACCAACAAAATTCAACCCCAACATGTCTGACTACTTGACCAAGATTGATGAAAACCAGTTACATGGTCTCTGAACAGCAAATCTTTGAAAAGCTTGATGGAAAGATACATAGGCAGAAAGACAGATTGCCACAATATAACATAAACATTCAATTTCCAAACAATACTATTTCTAGTATTTTATCACATAATTTCTAACATAGGTTAGTGCCATTAAACAGTAAACTAAGCCTACACTACATGGTCATAACCTATAAATCATTTGTCGTCACCACACATTGCATTGCACAACTCGCTACTTGTAATTCAGTAACATTAATCCTAGCTAGCTAATGCAGTAGGCCTAAACCTTTGGTGGGTTTGCACATAAAATTTTTCATGCCAAAATATTGACATATCCTATTTCCCTTCATTTTATAGACAAGGGGAATTGTCTTTTAGGCAGAATTAGAGTAAATTAATCTACAAGACCTTGAGTGTGGTCAAAAATATCAATCGAAAGGGTTTGACCTCCTGAGTTCTAAATTGTAATTAGATCTCAAATCGGCTAAGAGATGATGGAGCTATGAGCTAAAATTCTATGAGCTGCTATGCTGCAGCTAAAAATCGGGATGTACTTTACATATTTCCCAATGAAAAGTTCCAATTTCCGACACTTGGCTGCCATAGGAAAAATTTCATGCCATTCTCCCTCTTAACTTATTCCTTTTTTTGGCAAGTTTAATGCAAGGAGTATTTGCAGTCGCACACTTCATTCTGACCAGCATATGTACGTGCTGACTTTGATCATCATGTACAGCTTTCGCTGTAAATGTACATGGAAGTTCAGCAGGTTTGTTGTTTGAGTGTCGATTTGAATTGCTTGCTACTGCGGTATGGTATGATTCAAAACTGCACAAATGTCTTATTGCTGATCATTCCCTCCACTACATGTATTTTATGTGATATATTATTCATAACAAGGTAGTTTCTGTAGGTTGTAAGTCCAGTGTTTGTGATTGCCAATGGTTTTCCCTTTACTGCATGCAGTACAAATTTAGATTGTGAGAACATGATAGCTAAAAGGATACTAAAAAGTGGTAACTGTGGACATGGATATTAGTGATTTTCTCGGGACACCACGGCTATTTAGAAAAATACTGCAGCAATTGCCAATGTGGCTGCCATGAACTCTTAACATATATAGTATTCCACTTGATAATGGTGAATATATGAAAAAAATGTTTGGACTTTGGCTCTTATGGTACAGCAGATGCTTCATACGCAAGAGCTCTAGGACTCAATCCCATTTATATCCTATTTTTTTCCGCAAAACAATGTTTCAGTTGTCAAATAATTTTAGTACATACATCATACATGAAGCACAAGTTTTTCCCCTAACGTTGGTAATGAAGCACACAGAAACACAAAATGTGTGGTTTATAATAGAATGAATATAATCACAATTTCGGTACCTGATTAAGTAATTTCTTTGACTTGAAATACCTGGTTGATCCTTCTTCATATATACACCCAGACACTTGACAGTGGAATTGGCTTATTAATTGTCTTGTATTTATCATTTTTCCTGAAATTAAATAAACAAGTTATTATGCTGTCAAGAATTTAAGTATATATATATATATATATATATATATATATATAT